GGAGGAGAAGGAAGGGGCCGGTGGGATGAGTCGGGGTTTGGCGGCGGCGCCGGAACGCCTAGCCACACCCGCCGCCATGTCGGGACTCGAGCACTGTGTCAGGCAGATTGTCCCATCAGACGGACACATCCACCCACGTCTCCGCCCCCACCTCACACCCACCCTAACCCAGACAATCACCTGTCGATCTCGGCTACGCCGGGGACCTCTACGGGGCCTGCCTCCCCACGACCCCCCGGGCTGGCCCTGGACTCCAGCGGCGCGGACAGGCGCCTGTGCCGGATGTAGAAGCCCTCCTCCTCCAGCACCGCGCCCAGGCCCTGGCTCATCTCCTGCAGCGCGGAGTGGCTGGCGCCCTCCAGCGCCTTCAGACGCGCGCGCGGCAGCAGGCGGGCCAGGCGCGGACCCTCGGAGCCGGAGGGGATGAGCATGTCCCGCGTGCCCATCAGGATCAGGCAGCGCTGGCCGATGCGCGGAAGGAGGGGGCCCACGTGCTCGCAGCCTTGGCGGATGAGCTCCAGCTTCCACGCCAGGGTCTCTGCGGGCGGACGGGGGGATGGGTGTGGAGAGGGTCGGGGCTCGGTCGCACGTCTCGAGACCATGGCGCACGTCATCCCCGCCACGCGATCATCGCCCTCTGCACCTTGCGGCAGCACGTCGGCCAGGCGCGGCAGCTGGGCCCACAGCGTGCGCGCCGTCTGGAGCAGGGCGGCGGCCTGCCGCGCCGCGCTTTCCTGCCCCGCGCCGTCCCGCACGCCGGCCGCCAGCAGGCTGACCGGGTTGCCGATCAGCGGGGCCATGACCAGGGGGAGCACGGACTTGTACAGCGCCGGGGGGGTCTGCAGAAGGACAGAGGAGGGGGGGGACATGGATGCGACTGTGCCACCCGGATAAGCTGCGGCGTGGGTGGAAACGGTGTACTTCCTGGGGGGGGCAGGCAGCCTCCAGCCTGGCAGGCTTCCAACCCCCCACCTGAAGAAGATAGGGCGCCACCATGGGCCAGATGGAGCGAGGGTAACTTGTGGCGGGGTTGACCAGGACCTGCAGCGAGGCCGGCGGGATGCGGAGTGTGGAGTGTGAGCAGGGTCTGCACCGCGGTGAAGCGCCGGAGAGACCCCAGACACGCCCGAACATGATTCCTTCACACTCCTCAAGGCACAAGCATGCAGGGCTGAGGGTTGCTCCACACCTCTCGGGCCCTGCCCCACTCGCCCTTTCAAAATGTTCCAGGAACAACATCCTCCCCTTCCCAGCCCACCAGCCTGTCGACGAGGTGGGGCGCAGCTGCGGCCACGGCGAGGGCCAGGAGGCCGCCAAAGGATTCCCCCAGGAGGTACACCGGGCGCGCAGGCGACGCGGTGCCCACCTCCGCCTCCAGCTGGCTCACCACCAGGCCGACCATGTCGGCAAAGGGGGTGTGGTCGGCGCGGGCGGTGAGCAGGTGCCGCATGTCAAACATGGCGAGCAGGGAGGGGAACTGGCGGGCGGCCGCCATGCCGGAGCCGTCGATGCCGGAGAAGTAGACCAGGAGGGGGAGGGAGACCGGGTCGCGGGCCATGGTGCTGGGTGGGAGGGGGCAGGCGAGGCGTGGGGGGACATGGTACCCCTGCTCTGGCATGCCCAGGCTGGTGATGGAGAATGTGGGGGCATAGGTGGGGTCCTGGACGGACGCCTGGCAGACTGTCATGCGGCGCGGGGGGCTTGAGACATGCCCGCACCGCCGCAAGAGAGCCTCATGGGTCCGAAATGGATGGAGAGCACCGTGTGGTGACCTGAGCAGAGGACCAGGGGGCGGGGTAAGGATGGAGGTCATAATGCGGATGCGAGCTCGGAAGCCATTCAGTCGATGTCACAATCCCCGCATTGGTGAAAGAGCGTGCTGCTCTTTAGCGTGCACGCATGTGTGGCGAGGTTTGGATCGCGCGCTAGAAATTCATGCCGGGGCCTCCCTTTCCTCAAACACTCTCCAAAATCCAGCAGCTGTTCCACGACCGTGGATTCCGCGTGCGACAACCCTCACTACCACTGCACGAGGGCAGGGTCCTATGACAAGCTGCGGCCTGATCGCTAGCCATCCAGAGCATGTGTTAAGAAGTTGCCCAAGGCACTGCTGGCATGCAAACGAGCTGATGTCGACTTTCAACGGACGGTCTCGAAATTGATGACGATAACAGGAAAAGTGCACTCGTCACATTCCGGCATGATTACGCCTGGGAATACGCCCAGAGCACCGACCTCATCAGCGCGAGAGGGAAGGAGGGGACTCCGATATGTCATCCTTGCGGCACTCGGCTTTGCGAATGTCATCTTCTTCCTGGGCATGGGGCAGAACCATTCATCCGTCCTGCGGGGCCCTACCAGGCGACGGTCGCAGGAACTCACATCAGAGGGGCAGGTGAGGCGAGTGTGGCCGATTTGTGGCTTGCGATCACCCCCTGCAACCTCAGTGTGGTGCATGCTACTCTGTGAACCTCTGCAAGACCGGGTAACAACGATGACGGCCACAGCACACGATAACCCTAGGGTATCATGTGGGTGCATGATGGCGCACTGCCATGGCCCTCTCGGTATGCACAGTCTTGCAGCGCTCCGATATATACTACACTCAACCCTCACGCTCCCTTGGATACCCACAACTGATCCACAGGGAGACTTGCTGGTTCAATCCATCAAGCAGCTGCAAGCGAGTGAGGCCGGTGCAGCCTTCGACGATGTCTCGGTAGACGACGTGATTCTCTTGCTGGATGCCAGCCATGCCACCGCCACAATCGATCCCCTGCTCGTGCTGGGCCTCAACAGCGAGCCATTCTGCAGGCTGATGGCATTGCGGCGTGGCTACCACGTCCTTCAGCCGCAGTAAGCTGGCGGGGCTGCATGCGGTGGGCGAGATGCGATTGGGTGTGGTGCCCATTCCAGCACACGAGGGCTCCGCTGCTCAGCAATGCTCGGACTGTCTGGTCGGCTTCAAGGAAAGCACGCCGGGACCACTCACCCTGCCTGCCCATTTGTCTCTCATGCGTTTGCACCACTGCGCTCCCCCTTTCTTGACGAGAGCCACCCCCCACGATCCCCCAGGGAGCCAGCCATAGGCTTTGAAGAACCTCGCCTGCAGGTTGCAGCCAAGGGCGTCATCCTCACGACCTACTTCACCAGTCGGGTGGATCCTGCGCGCTGTCACAAGCATGTGGTGAGTGGCTCCGAGGCCACTGGGTTGTAGTGGGCTTGGGCGATCTGTGCCTGGGGCAATGCCCACTCTTGTTTCCACCCCGCAACAGCCTTGGCGCCACCTGGCGGCTCGTGACGGGGAGTTGTGTGGGATGTCGAGACGGCGCTCACCGCACCTCACTGCCGAGCCGGCCAATCACTGCAGGGCGGCGCCATTCCCCCAGATGACCTGGCATACGTGCAAGGCTGGCACTCCAGCGTGCAGCACCTCGGCACCCCCGCGGTGGTCTTCCATGACGGGCTGAGCCCCGCCTTCATCTCTGAACTACAGTCCCGTGAGAGGAGACGCAAGGGGGGAGGCTGACCCATGCGGGCATCGGTGCTGGGACCAGCCCACCTGGACCATGCCTGGGCGATTGCGCTGTGTGGGCCCATATGCCACGGGACAGGCGATGCCAGCCCCGGACGCCCACCCCTTTCTGCCGCCATCCCCACAGCGGCCATCGGCTTCCAGCGAGTGACGCTGAGCTACACCTCCTGGAGCCTGTCGGATGAGCGCTGGGCTGTGTACCGTGACTGGCTCGCCGGCCCAGGGATCAGTGTGTCGTGGGTGCTGGCTTTGGACCTGGCGGACGGCCTGGTTGCCAAGGCCCCCTGGGAATGGTTTGCCCAGCAGCGCAAGCAACACGACCTGTGGGTCGGCGTGGTCCAGGAAGGGTCTGACGCTGTGCCAAAGCAGGTGGGGGAAATGGGGGTACTTTGGATGCCAGATGACAGGGCTCATTGGTCTCGTGTGTTCCTGTGTCCTAGGACATGGACCGGAAAGCGGAGGGGTGCACCCTGGGGGGCTGCAGTGTCTGATGTGGCTCGGAGCCGGATGACTGGGACGGAATGTGCACCTGATGCATGGCGTCATGTAGCGCCGGGAGAACGGCGAGGACTCGCACCATCGTACCGTGCCCTGCAGGAATGCTACGAGAGTGGGGAGGGGCCCCCCAGGACCGACGGCATGAGGGTTGATGGCGGCGCCGTCGCAGGCACCAAGGTACAGTCATGGTGTGGGGGCTCGGCGACCGCACCTACCAGCCTTTGACCTACCTTCTCTGTACGCTCAGCAACTGTCGGTGTGCAGCCCCCGGAGGGTCCTGTGCTCCAAGTTTGCGTAGGCACCATGCATAATCTCATCACCCTTTGCTCGTGCCTGCGTGGCAGGATGCCTTCCTAGATCTGGCCGCAACCATGGTCATGGAGCTGGAGTATCTGCACGGCGCACCGCAATCGGCTGCCTGGAACTGCGGTGCCGCCGCTCTGGCCTTTACAGTGGCACATCCCAGGTAGGCGACTGCAAGGGAAGACTGCATGGTGACCGGGACTGCCATCCTATTGAGGGGGGCATGCAAGGGTTATGTGGGTTTGGGGATGCATGGATTGGTGGGAATCTGTCTACCAGGCAGAGGAGCAAACAGAGCCATCAAGCCAGCGGCCTGTGAAAGTGTGCATCGGGAGAAACACCTGGTGCAACGACCTGCCACCTCGAGAGTTCTATACCCCTGTCCCTACTCCACCATTCCTTCGTCACTACACAGCCCCTCGTCGATCTCGAGGCACACCCCCCACCCCACTCTCTCCATCAGGTTCAAGGCTCGTCACACGGTGTTTGACCAGGGGCTCCCATTCAGCGCTCAGGCTGCACACTGCTGGAAGCAGGGGGACTGCCAGGCGTACGTGTATCACCAATGACCTTGCTCGATGGTTTGTTGTCACCTGGGCCGGTGGCGTGTATGTATGTGGCAGGCTCTGTCGCCACACCCTCCACAACGACCTGCGCCACCCATTTTCCAACCCACCCCGTGGGCGGCAGCGCCGTCCCCCCCCCATGTTCTGCGATGCCCGTGTGATCATGTAGCCGAGCAAGAGCGCAAAGGAGTCTGAGCAAGAGAAGGAGCAACCGAGGACGGCAGGCACCCTTCAGTCGAACACACCGCCCCGCCGCGGCTGCGAGGTCTTGCCCTCCAGCGCCGCCTGCACCCGCTGCCGCTGCTTCTCGTCCTGGGCTGCAGTGTACTCTGCCCACTCGGCCTCGCTCATGCGCCGCATGCCGATGGCGTCCCCCAGGCGCCGCAGCCAGCCGGGCCCGGTCTCCGCCTCTCGCGCCTCTCGCGCCGCCAGCTCGCTGTCCCGCTGCGCACGCTGCGCGGCCAGGACCTCGGGGCGGGGGGGGGTCCAGGAGGTCAATGCGCACCAGCACGTCCCGCAGCGTCTCGTCTGGCCGCCACGCGGCCGATGCAGCATGCGCCGCGGTGGCGATGGCGCCGTAGGCCAGGGCGCCGTGCAGGGGGTGCCTCCCTGCGCCATCGTGTCATTGGGAAGGGGGATGGGGGCCAGGGTCCGGGCACAAGCTCCAGCGCCAGACAGATGGGGCCCGGAGCGGCATGGCTGCCAGATGGAACAACAGCCGCGTATACACCAGCTCACCGTTGGCACGGTGAATGAGGCTGCCGGCAGCGGCACCGGCAAAGGCGCTGTTGACGGGGCTGTCGTGGCACCTCACTAGCCGGCATGCTTCTTGCACACCTGCCATGGGGGGGTGCACAGGGTTGGAGACACCGGGCCCGTTTACACTGCGACCAGGACGTGAGGCACAAGCCCTGGGGCAACTCACCTCCATACAGTGTTCCCAGTAGCACAAAGCTCAGCGTGCTCTGGGCTGCGAACCGGACCACGGGGTGTCCCTTGGCAATGGCCGCCACTGTCCCCACGCTCAGACCCGAGATGCCTGCATGTAGGTGCGTGAGTTTCCATGCAACATGGAGATTAGACTCGATGGGCAGGTACAGCATGCCCATCAGCGAGCGCACCTGCAAGGACTGCCTTGTCTCGAAGTCGGTCCTGCCAGCCGGCGACGACCGGACACCGAGTGGTGCCCAGCATCGAGCCTGCCCCTACCCTGATCGAAGGGTGTGGTTTTGGCTCAAGACATAGCGAGACAAGAGTCGACATGCAGGATGAATGAGTGAGCAGCATGTAAAGCCCATGCCCGAGAGTTTGCGGTGCAGAGTGTGGGAGATTCAGCAGGAATGCCGGGTGCGTCCCAGGCATCCGTGATCGTGGATGCTCTGGGACTCCTCACCGCCCCATGTACAATCAACAAGTCCTTGCCCACCTTAAATCAACCCCTGCCATTCCAACATGTCATTGTATGCGAGTGTGGTTTACAAGCAGCCAAGCGGGGTTATCCTTTCCAACTGCCGGGGGTAGTGACTTCAATCAAACGTGGTGCAAATGAAAGGGACAAATACAGCAAAACATCTGTCAGGGGTTCCAAGGCGGCGCGTGGCCAGGGGGCCGGCGCCATGTGACCAAGGTGTCGGGTGTCTGTGCTGCCTTTGCGCAATACGGTGGGGGAGGGGGGCGAGCGCCCCCCACTCCATCCCGGCCTAAAGGGCGGAGGAGTAGGCGGGGCTGGCGCGCGCTCCGGAGACGGGCACCGCGGGTGACTTGGGCGCGACCGGGGGCTTGACCGCGGGGGACTTGCCCTTGTTCAGGAGGCCAGCCTTGAGCGCCGCGCCCTGGGCCGCAATCTCGGAGGGGGTGGGGATGGAGTCGACCAGGTTGGTCAGGCTGGAGGGCAGGGATGAGACGGAGGAGGTGAGGGTGCTCAGGGCCTGCTTGACCTCGTCGGTGATCTTCGAGGTCAGGTCGTTGACGGAGAGCTGCTTGGAGCCATCAAAGGAGTACAGGATGGTGGTCTCCTCCTCGCCAAAGGTCTTGTTCACGTTGCAGTACTTGGAGGTGAAGGTGATGGGGGTCTTGCGCTTGCTGACGAACACCGCGGGCTCCTTGGTGAACTCGATGGAGGGCTCCACGCAGTTCAACTCCTTCTCTCCGGTCGCTGAAGGCGGGTAGGAGTGGGGGGAGTGGCAGTCAGCATCGTCGCACACACATTCATTCCGACGGCAGGTGCACGGGGGCATCTCTGCGGGTACAGCTCGGACATCCTCTCAGCCCTCGACTCACTCCAGAAGACAGTCTCGTTGAAGGAGCAGCTGCCGGTGGAGAAGGTGATGTCGAAGGAGGGGCCGGTGAAAGTGGCGGGCCTCTTGCGGCCTGCGGGTGGGCGGGGGGGAATTCGAATGAGCCAACCGTTGATCGGGAGGAGGTGGCCCGCAAGCGCGGTGTTGGGGCACACCCCGATCGCCCTCAGCCCCGCTTACCAAAGTCGAACTCGGCCTCAGTGCAGAACTGGGACTCGAAGGTGGTGTACAGGTTCTCGAGCTGCCCGGTCAGGGTGGACACCTCGGACTGCAGCTCGGCGGTGTTGGGGAGGACGTTGGACAGGCCACTCGCGGCGTCCTTGACGTTGCCCAGGATGTTCTGAGTGAGGGCTGTGGATTGATGGGAGGAGGCATGGGATGTCAGTTGGTGGCTCGCGTGCGCCATGGGAAGGTGCCGGACGGACTGGGCCTCGGTGCCCCATTACACTCACTTGCGACCAGGTTGTCGTAGTCATGCACGGCGTCATCGGCGCGGACCTGAGCTCCAATGCCGCAGACGGCAAGGGCCAGGAGGATGTATGCGGTCTTCATGGTAGGGCGGGGGGGCCGGGTGTGCTCGGAGTGTCGACTGACGGAGCGGGGGGGAAGTTCCGAAAATGAACGACCGCACACCGGCAGATTGCAAGAGAGGGGTAATGGAGTTTTACTTTGATCTGGACTCTGAGCGATCGATTTGTGTGTGCACACAGACGCTCCGAGTCCGTTTGTTTCGTTGCCCCAACGCGCCTCGAAACGCACGAGCGACCTGCTCTAGGCCAGCTGTTGTTAATGGTCGAACTTTTTTTGAGCCGCAGCACGCGCCTCACACCCAATTGCACGTTCCAACCATCACGAACTGGGTGTACAGGAATCTTTGACGAAGACCAGATCCCAGCGGATCGGATCGGCGGATCGGCATGAGCCCATCGGGGCGCGGCAATCCCCGAGGTGTTTTGCCGTCGCACCGTACGCCGCCTTATGAAGGGCACAGTGGAGATTCCTTGCCGGGAATGGCAGCACCATCGTTTCGGATTTGTTCCGGCATGTGCACCGTGACCCCCTTTGCACCAGGCTGAGAGGTTCCATCAGCTGTTTCGGCTGAATAAGGTCTTGAAAAGTGTAGTGCACTGTGGTCAACCTCAGTGGCACCATGGAGACCATGGGCCCACGAAATGGGCGTACAGGAGCGCCGGCGACATCTGACGCAGTCATTGCCCTCGCCAACAATGTGGAGGAAGCTGTAGGGGTTTGATTCGCATTGAACAAGGCATGGCTGCTGGCAGGGTGGCTCAAAATTACAGGAGCACCGCGATCTCTGTTGTCCTGCCCCCTGAGAGCGTGCACAGATCCTGGCATTCCCTATTCCCATGCATTCCTGTGTCGACAGCGATGGCACCATTTCTATGAGGCATCGTCGCAAAAGCACAACCCTCTGTACTGCGAGGAGAGTTAGTGGCGGGGGCCCAAGTTTAACCAGGCAGTGCTTGTTGGGCGTCCTTCCTCGAAAAACTCGAATCAACTTTCGTCATGTAAACAACCACATTGTACCACTTTTCAATTGTGTCCCCGGGCTGGTCTTAGATCGCCCGCTATGCAACAGAAGGGCGCCCGCCCCTTGCCCCGTTGACGATCGCTCAGGGGACCCCAGCATGCATGCTGGGAGTGCTGCGAAGAGGACGCGACGACTTCGAGACTCTCTGAGCGGACACCCCACCGATGCATTGAATAGACCGACATAGACATCCACATTTCAGCCTTATTTGTCGTGTATCCAGCTTGAGTGGGCACCCCACTTTCTGACATCTGCCAGCTGGTCATCGGTCTCCGGACTCGGAACTCCACCCGGTACCGCACTTAAATCACCTTTCCACCGCCTCGACACCATGCGCTTTCACTATCTCATCCTGGCCTGTGTGTTGGCTCATGGGGCGCTGGGCGATGTCGTGGTCCCCCCTCCCCCAACCACCACCGTCACCTACGACAAACTCGTCGGGGGTGAGCCCGGGTCTGGTCAATATGGTCTCTCCGCGGCCTACCTCGGCTCCCGCGATGCTTCCAGCCGCCTTGTAATGTTTCGTGGGCGGAGTTTGGGTCCTTTCCATCGCGAGGGACGCTCGTGCCCACTCGTCTCCCCCCGTTACCACCTGCAGACCTGTCGGAGGCGCTGGTGACCCGGTACCAGGCGGGGGTCACGGGGCTCGATACCCTGGCCACCTCATGGAGTACCTCGGTGAGGAGCCTGTCCGACCAGCTCACGTCGGGCTTTGCGGCGTATGACGCCAACTTCTGCACCCCGGCCAGCTTCAGCAAGGGCAAGTGGTTTGCAGTGTGCATGGTGCCGTCTGGTCAGCTGATGGGGGGCTTGGTGTAGTAGGGACGACCACCTCCTCTACCAATGCCAACTGCACTGTCCACATCTGATGAGTAGCCAGTCAGTTCCAGTCCCCTGTTCCCAGAAAGTACGGCCAAGCTGCGTTGCCTCTACATCACAAACACACCTCCCACTCCCACCGCTCGGCAGGCGGCATCATCCCGGCCAAGTTCATCGGCTCCGCTTTCAACCTAACGTTCACGACTGGGTCATGCAGCTTCAATGAGACTGCATACCTCGGTGCGAATGACGTTATAGATGGCATGCCGGCGGGTCCAGCTTGTGGGAAAAACCTGATTGTGGATGGATGCCCGGTGCGTCGAGGAAACAGTACTCCATTGATTCAGCAGGTGCCTGCCTGCAGCAGGTCAAAAGGGTGGGACAGTAGTGCACTGACAAGAACTATCGTGTCACGTTCCCTCCCCAAACCCCCTTTGACCCTTCTTGCGAGCCTCGCACGGCATCCATTTCGTCTGACCAGGTGCTCTCCCGCCACTCCACCAACCGTCACGCCACGACCTCCTGCCCCTCCCTGCAGTCGATGGCGTGAAGGAGCTGCAGTGTATGGAGCCCTCCATGGAGTACCTGAAGGTCCCCGCCAAGTATGTCAGCAAGTACTATGCTGCACCCTCCTTCACCGGCAAGGTAAACCCTAGTGCTCGGGGGGTGGCCGGGGGGGGCTCGCAGGGGGCTGTGGGATGCACAACGCTTGAATGACAGGGCGGCCCCTCCCCTGACACGGTGGAGGCGCCGTCACAGCCCTTACGTGTGTATGGCGCTCAGCCTCCTGGAATGTCACCGGGCCATCGCATGTGCTTTTTCGCTTGCCCCTCCAGGCGCCACACTGCACTGAGCCAGGAACCGCTGGGCGAGATGTCACTCCTTCAACACTGCAAGTCCTCATCCTGCCTGCTCAATTCGCCCTGCCCTCCACCCAACCCCCCTCTGAACACACACAAATCACGCAGGAGTGTGTGCTGACCAAGTCCTTTGGCACCGCGACCAACACCACACTGACCGTCTTCGACACCTCGCTCAAGGTCAGCGCCTCTGAACTCACCGCCCAGATCACCGCCGAGCTGAAGAACCTGCTGTCGGTGCTCGGCAAGTCCTCTTGATGTGCCAGCACCCCCTGAGCAAGGGCATACGAGCCCGTGCGGCGCGGCGGCGGGGGAGCAGGACGACCGGGGCGGCATGCGCGTCACTTCCACGGTCAAGCTCAAGAAGACATCGGGCCTGCTATTCCTCCCCTTCAGACGTATTAAATTTAGTTGTATTCAGGCCTGCAGGCCATGCATGCGGTGTAGTGAACGGCAGTCGCCCCCCCCGTCTGTAACCTGCCCGGTCTGGCACTGGGGCCCAGACCCTGCATGTGCCAAGCCTGGCTGTGGGTAAGCGCGCCACCACCCTCCCTGCATGCTGCCACAGAGGCCCAGCAGCATGGCGCGGCAGTGGGGCCACCCTGCGTCTCGCGGGGGCCAGCCTCAGTCTCTTGTCTCCAGAACGCCCTGCCCAAACACAGCGGTGCAGATCACCACCAGGATGTTGAGGTGGGGGAGGAGGTCAGTGTGGGCATCCGAGCCCAGGCCGGCGCGGAGGGAGCAGCAGTGGCGCAGCAGGCGGCGGTAGGCCGCGCATGTGTTGGCCTGCAGGGGAGTCTCCACCCTGGTTGGAGGGTGGGAGGGGAGGGCGGTCAGGGGAGCTCATGGACCTCCTGGCCAGGGCCCTCCCAAAGCCAATGCACGAAGTGCTCCGCGCCGGGCGCGCCCGCCTCACCGGATTGATAGCGCGAAGAGCTCGGCGGCGGCACCGGGGTCAAACCCCGCCTTCACCAGGCGTGTGACGCGGGAGGGGACCCGCTGCGCGACGGTGGCGGAGGAAAGCATGCGCAGCGCCTCGAGCTCAGGCATGCCCGAGTAGCTGGAAGGCATCCCGGGGTCCGGGCCCTGGATGGGGCTTGGGCACCTTATGCCTGACCCGCCCAGCGATGTTCCCAGCAGAGATTTGCCCCTGTCTGCATCCACCTCCCTTCAAAGGGGAGGGGAAAGGGTGCGTGGCAGGCTTGGGGGTGGCAATTCCGCACCGAAATGTCCTCAGCATCCAGGTGCCCTTGCCAGTCGAGGCTCGCGTGCCTTCATCCCTCAGTCTACTTCCCACACAACTGCGCCTGCCTGCCCCCTCCCTCACCGCTGCATGCAACTCCGATGGTGCTCAAAGGTTGCCAGGAAGTGGGTCGTCCAGGAGCGGAGTGGTAGGAGCGCGGGGTCGCATGGCTCAGGGTCTGCCAAGTCTGGCAGTTGGATGGGCAGCTCCCTGCTGCTTGCCGGGGTTGGGGGGTCCACGGTGCTCACAACGGCGTTTGGCAGATGCTGGGCTTCCCACCTGGGGTGCCAAGGATTGAGCACAGGGGACTCAGATGCCGGGCTTCGGGCATTTTGCGGCGTGACCAAAGGGGCTGCCAGGGTGGGCTCGGCCGGCACGCGCCACGCCATCAAGCGGCGCGGCCCATACACAATGTCCAGCAGCTGGGACCCAGGCCTCTTGCTCCCATGCGCATCACCCCACCTGACCCGGCACAGGTACTCCTCCACGCTGTCCACCTCCTCTGCAGCCCAGTCAGGCTCCCTGTCCGGAACGGGCAGGGCCTGCCAGATGCTGAAGGCCCTTCTATCATCCTCCTCGTCCCCCGAGCTCGAATATGAGCTGTGAGCTGAAGCGTCTTCCGAGTGTCGTGGATCCATCGTGTCCATGCAATGTATGTTCTCCCGTGTTGGGCACCTTGCCTGTGTACCGAGCGCACGTCCTGCACGGTATGAGCGATCGAGTCACATACTCCTAAATTGAGTTACGAAATGCTTGGACTCCTGATGTGCAGCTTCTGTAGCTCATGCCTGACAACATACTTACTTGCATGCGACTCCCCTCGGGATCTCGCGCCCTGACGAGCGACTCCATGTCGGGACAAGCACTGCCGAGGCTACTGTCTCACGATCTTCCTCACCCAGATTTTAGATACCTTAGATGGCAGTGACTGGCTGTAACATTCCACCAACGTAGACCCGGGCACTTCTTCTGGGTGTACACGCATTCCCTCCCCCCGGCCCGGCGGGGCGGTCCCTTGGGATGGACACGTCGGGCCTTCGTCTGGAATCTGTGACCATAGATGAAGCCCTGCACCACGGCGTGGGCGAGTTTGGCCATGGGCAGCGCCTGCAGCTCAGCGTGGTGCGCTGTGCGGGTCTTCCTGATGACGTCACGGTTTTGAGTGTCGGTGCCACTCCCCATGACCCGGCCTGCCCTCTGCCACGACGCGCGGGACATCAGCCACCCATGACCGATGCCCGGCTCTGCAGGTGGGAGCTGCATGGTTCTGCGCCGTGTTCCAGGCCTTCATCGGCATCTTCAACTCACTGAGCCCCTTCACGCCTGGAGCCCTAGCCTGCACCGCCCCCGACGACGCAGCCTGCCAGGCTGCCCTGGCCTCGAGCCCGCCCGATCCCTGCTCACTGGCACCAGAGCAGTGGTACTGGACCCGCCCGTGAGTTCTTGGGAAGCGAGGCTGGGGAGGGGGGGCGTTCGGCAGTCACAAAGGAAGCTGCTGCGAGGAGCTTAGGTCATGCATTTTGGGCATCAGCAGGAGATGGGTGGCTGCCAGCCCGGCACATGTGCCTGGTCCCGGCCCCCTGCTCATTTTCGAATCCTGGTGCATCCCCCGCCCGTCATGCCGGCCTTACCCCACCTCTGCCCCACCCTCCCCTCCGAGCAGCAGCGCCTCCCCCCTCAGCGACTTCGACCTGGCCTGCCGCCCCGCCTTCCTCCAGCGCGGCCTCCTCCCCGGCGCCTTCTTCCTGGGCGCGGCGCTGGGCGCCTGCGCCCTGGCGCTGCTGGCGCCCGCCACGCCCCGCCGCCGCCTACTCTTCTCGGCCAACCTGGCCTGTGCCGGCGCCGCGCTGGCCGCGGTCAACGCGCCGGGCGCGGCCTGGTACGCCGCGCTGCGTTGCGCGGTGGGCGCGGGCGCTGGGGCAGCGACCCTGGGTGCCACGTTCCTGGCCCTGGACGTGGTGGGCGGCGCCTGGCGCGGCACGGCCGCCGCCGCGCTGCACGGTGCCGGCGCGGCGGGCGCGCTGGGCGCGGCCTGCCTCGCCGCCCTGGCGCCGCCCTGGCGGCTGCAGGAGCTGGCGGGCGCCCTGCTGGCGCTGGCCGCCGTGGCGCTGTGGAGCCTGACCCTGGAGTCGCCGACCTGGCTGCTCCTGCGCGGCAGGAAGGTGCGCACGTGGGAAGGCGGGGGTGGGGAGAGGTGGGAGGGGTGTCTGCGGAGTGGCGACAGTTATGTTCTCGTCTCTGAAGGAGACCCTGTTTTCATCACTTGGCTGCTCGATCCGCCCTTTCCTCACACCTTACACCTCGCATCCCATCGTGCATCGCTTCCTCTCGCGATCCACACATGCAAGCACCCTCCTATCAAGGCCCCCTTCAACCTTCACTCAAACCCCACAGGGCGAGGCGACGGCGGTGCTGGCAGTGCTGGCGTCGGCCAACCGCTCGCGCCTGCCCGCCGCGCAGCTGGCCGACCCCACCGACCTGCTCGGCGCCGCGCGCAGCAGCCTGCGCGACGCGCTGGGCGTGCCGCGCCTGCGCCGCACACTGCTGGCGCACGTCGCCACGCTGGGCGCGCTGGGCGCCGTGTACTGGACTGCTGCAGGGCTGGCACCCCGCCTGGGCGGCGGCGCGCCGCGCGCCGCCGCGCTGGCCGGCGCGGCCTACGAGCTGCCGGGCGCGGCGCTGGGCGCGCTGGCGGGGGACCGCCTGGGGCGCCGCGCCGCCGCCGCCGCCGGGCTGGGCATGGCGGGCGGCTGCCTGCTGGCGGGCGGGCTGGGGCCGGTGGGCGCGACACGCGCGCTGGCCGTGGCAGCGCGCCT